AAATAATGATCAGTTTGATCTTAGCTAATTCAGCCAAAGTGTGATATTTGTTGCTGGGGAAGAGGGGAAATAGGACAAAGTGCCCAGACTAAAGAAGGCCTGGAGACAGAAGGGAAGACGAACCTTTGCTCAGGGTTGCCACAGAAATGATTTTCTGAGGACCAAAGCCGCCACCATTGTTCTCGTTGTCGGGCAACGTTGAGGGTGAAATTAGGAGATCGTAGGTTTTGTTTGGCAGAAGATTGTTTACAGTAAACACAATGTCTTCAGAGGAAACGGCGAACGATGCTGTCCTCTGGTGCGGAGGAGTAACCGAAGAATCTATAATTATGACCTAAAATAGAATGAAATAGAAAAATACTTGATTTGGTTTTGATATATTTCCTTTAAAGTTAAAGTGATACAATAATAGGATGAAGGGGTGTTTAGTGGATTGGCAATTGAAGAAAGCAAAAAGGTATGGATGAAAAGGAGGATGATATGAAAACAGACAAAAATGGGAAGCAAATATGTGAAAAGAGGAAATAATTAAACATAAACAAATGCTCCCATCTCATCTTAAACTAGCCCTTACCTCGGCATACAACCAAAATACAGACAGATTTACATACATTCGAGTATATGTCGATCGTAGGTATGAAGAACAAGATGGTGTGGCCTTTTGTGTACGACCACACAAAAGGCCACACCTTTGTTTGGTGTGGCCAGTTTGGTGTGGACAGCAGTACACGGGAATTGTATTCGCTGATTACGGGAATAACTGTACCTTCCACATGGTTTTATCAGAAGTATGACTTACAAAATAAGGCGAGCTTATTGCAACCCACATTAAGTATTCGCAATATCTTGTACAGTCAATTTATTGAGTTGTCGTAAATTCCACTTTGTTTGAAGAAGCGCATAGAAAGGAATCGCAAATTGGCTTTAACGGAACCAAAAAGAAGTCAGCGGCTGCGATTTGATGAGACCGGGGAAAGCTTTTGATAAGAGATGTAAGAGGAGATTCTTATTTTGGAGACCTTGTTTGACCTTGTTTTCGCAACATGGTCATATTGGTAGGAAGATTTATTGGAACGCACCTAGTCCGGGGTCCATTGTCTGCATGATCACTTCCATAGTTGAACCGTGGACTTGGTACATTCCCAAATGTTTCGCCGGCATCGTCAATGAGTATCGCCATTCTTAGGTATGATAGGATGCTACCGGAAACGCGAATAAGCCAGAGCAGAAGC